AATTTTTATCTTTTTTTATGTTACATATTTATATATTTATATTTTAATAATTTATGAAATATAACTATAATAGAAATACTTATTATACATATATTTTTGCTATTTTTTTAAATATTTACTAAAATTTTAACAACAGAATATCACAATTTTTTTTCTAAATTGTAATTAATTTTGAAGAATATAAAGGAAAAAATACGAATAAAAAAAATAGGATATAAAGATTGTATTTCAAATATTATGATAATGAAAATACTTTTCTATAGAAATCATTGTTAATAGTTAATAGTTATCTTTCAATTTTATTTATTTAACGAATATTTCAATCATAATAAAAAATTTCTATGTGTGTTTATTAAAATAAAATTTAATTTAATTTAAAGAATATAATATGTTAGAGAATGTGAATATCATATTTAAAAAATCAACAAAATCACATTATCAATTACATTATATAATTATATAGTTTTATTAATGAAGATTTGAAGTATTTATGTTAAAATTTTATTTTATTACGATAAAATTAGGAAAAATGAAATAATAAATTGATAGAAATACGAGATATTTGACTAATAATAATATTATTTTAAATTAAAATTTTAAATATATATATAATTATATTAAAAAATTTTAATATAATTTTAAATTAAATTAAATTTTAAATTTTAAATTTTCTAAAGATTTTAAGAAAAAAATTATAGAAATACATTATTCATCGTGTTAATTAAAATTCATTGTTTATCATAATTATTCAGAAAGTACAATTTAGATATGCTATTATTGCAAAATAATAAGAATAAATTGTTTTATTATATTTGACACTGTATATTATGTTTGTATATTTATTTCTATTAATAGATTCTATCAATATTTTTATTAATATTTTAACACGGTTGGATAATTTACTTTCTTCAAAAATGACAATGTCTCATATTATTATCTAAATTTGTATTGATTTTATATTTATTTGATTTTATATTTATTAGAAAAAATCTTATAAAATCTATAATATTTATTTTTATATTGTATATTCCATATGAAATTTTTTTATTTGATTAAAAATATTTCATATTTTTCATATTTTATCCATATTATTTATTTATTAAAATTATTTTAATAAATGAAATGTTACAATATTTTTTTTTTTAAATTTATTATTATATAAATACTTTTTAAATTTATTATATCTATTCAATACAATTTATTTAGTTATATATAATTAAAGTAGTACAATATTTATTAAAATGATATTTTTATTTTTTTATTATTTTTTTAAAGTATTAATTATAATATTTTTAGAATATGACTTGATTTTATTTTTTGAGAAATCAAAAAAAAGATTGAAATAATAATTTGTTTTTTTCATCAAATTCAATAAATATTAATAAAATTCGAAAATTCAGAAATTTCATAATTTTTCTTTATTTCTTCAAAATAATGCAATTATTTTTTCTAATGATATATTAATTAATATATTAATATATTATAAAATAAAATAATAGATTATAAAATATATAATTATAAAATAATAGATTATCCTAAAAGTTCATTATTTGTACGTACGGTTCTGATAGCTATGATTTGAGAAATATAAGTATTATAATTTTTTCTTTTATAAATTATTTTGTAAACTTTTAAAAATGTTAATTATTATTTATTTATTGAAATTTTATTAATAAATAAAGTTTTACATGTTTTTATTGAAATTAATTACTAGCAATATTTTTCACATCAACTGCTATTTTTAAATATTTTTTATTAATAATTTTTTATGAACATATAAAAAATATTCTCTTCAAAATCAAAATCAAGATTATTGAAATTATCTTCTCCGTAATCTTCTCAATAATTTTATATTTGCGATATCAAAAAAAATCTTGACAAATGATCTTTGTTTAAACAAAATTTTTTTTATGTCATGAATTATATTATATTTATTTTTTATATTATGGAACCGTATATCACGTATATGCTATATAATGAAATAAAAAAATCTTCAAAATAAAAAATAAAAGAAATATATAAATAAAAGAAATATATTTTAAATATTTCAAATAGGTTTATAATAATTAATGTTTATAATATTTTTTTTTTTCTATAAAATTAGCAAATGTAACTTATCTCATCAAATCAATGTGACTTATTTTTTTTTTATTAATTACATTAGTTTTTTAGCCGATTTTCAGAATTTAAATTTGAAATGATGATCGGCTCATACGCGTTGCAAATTTTTGCTATAATGATCCAATAAAATTAAATATACATAACAATCACTGAATGTTTTCGATTTTTACTAATTCTTGTAAAATTATTTAATTCATAATTAAGAAAAAGAATTGAAGTGAAAATATAAATCATATTTATCTGATTAACGACATATAATGAGTTAAGATATATTTCGTGACTTCATATATATACTTTAATAGACTGTATCAGACTTTTTTGTCCAAAAATTGGCAGCAAAGATTGTAAAAGATTATTTATTGGTTAATAAAAATACCTTACGGAAGTTTATTAGGTTTTTGACTAAAATAATCTGGACTATTTTCTAAGAAATTAGTTAGCTTTTAATATTGCATTGCATGATTAAAAAGTAATGAGTTTTTTAGAAGATTAAAATTTTGTCAGTATTAAGTTAAAACCAGTTTAAAGTTAAATCTTTCTTAGATTTCTTTAACAATTTATATATTATTTATTTTATTTGTTTAATAAAATGGAAAATAAGAGTTGAATTAATATTTCTAATTTTTTTTTCATTTGTTTATTTCCATTTTATATTGAAAGATTTTTCAAGATATTTGGAAAAAATTACTAATTTTCCTTTGTTCGTTTTAACTCATTTTCTATTTTTTTCTTTTCAATTTAATCAATGGAATTGATTTTATTGGTTATTTTTTTTATTTTTCTAATGGCTTGTCGAAATGAGTAATCTATATCTTCAAATAATGTCAAGTTGTTTTATGAGATTGTTTTTCTTTTAAGCATTTGGATATTGAATGTACTACTAACGTTTTTTTGTGTGATCTTTTACGACTTAACATTTTTATAATTTCTAAAGAATAATATTAATTTATTTATAATACTAATTTTTATTTTTGATCTTCATATAACTATTTGAACCAAAGTATTAAATTGCTCTATTGCATTATTTATATTTTTCTCTATTTTTAATGAAATATTTAACTAAAACAAATTATTAATAATTTTATGGAATTTGTCCTAATCAATTTTAGTGAAAATATTAATGGTTTTTTTTATTAGCTGTTAAAAATAAAATATTAATTTGTGCAATTGTATACTGCAGAATTGAGATCTAAGCATATTTTAATAATAATTTTATTTTTTATCTTTTATTATAAATAAATTTAACAATAAAATAAAAATTAATATTTAATATTTAATATATAATATGATACATAAAAATAATTTAAAATAAATTAAATAAAACAGAGAAATTATATTTAAAATGATTTATTTATTGAGAAATCTGCAAGGAAGTGAAATTAATCTTTAGTTTTATTTTTTCATTTTTTGATTAAAAGTTTACCCAACAATTTTTTTCGTAATAGTTTGATAGAGCACTAAGTTTTGAACATTTTGCAATTTATAATTTTGTGCTCGATCTTGTATCAAAGTTATTTAATAAGCAAAAAATGAAATGAAAATTGATTTCACGTTCTTAAAGTATTATATTTTGGTAAAAAAAATTAAATATATGATCATTACATTTTACAAAGCTTCGTTAAAAATTAAAAATCGTTCATTAATATTTTATTAAAAATAAAAAATTGTTACTTTTGTGATCTATTATATATGTGCAGTATATTATATATATAGTATCCTAAAATTTATAGATGTTTATTAAAATTTGTTTATTATGCATTTTTTCTTTATATTTGTTTTTATATTTTTATATAATTAATTTATATAAACTTGTGAGAATTATATTATAATTATATTTTTATATAATTAATTTATATAAATTTGTGAGAATTATATTATAACATAATTATAATTATATTATAATATAATATATTGAATATATGAATAATTTATATAAATTAATTGTAAAATTATTATTATATATTATAACAAAATTAATAAATTAAAATGAAAAATGAAAAAATTTAAATTAATATTTTTCTACCTAAATATATATATTGTAAAATGAAATCTTTCTAATGAATATTAATCATTAACTTTTTAAAATAAAATTACGTATTAATTTACATAATTGTTTAAATGATAACATTAAATAAAAAAATGAAGTTCAGAAATTTTCAATTGCATTTATTTATTATTATTTTTAAAATAATTAATATATTTATCATAATATATTAAAATTTTAATAACTTAGCTATTTTATTTTAATTTTGTTAAATGTTATCTAGATATATTTAAATGTGCATTATCTATATCATATTTACTTGTATCATATATTTACATTACTTTTTGCAAAAAATCATAAATTATTATAAATAAAAATAAACTATTATGAGAATACAAATGAATTATTGATAGAAAATAATTCTACATATAAAAAAAAACAAAAAATATATAAAATTTTTTTATATCAAAATATATAAAAATAAATAAATATTTTCAAATTTAAAAATTAATTTTTTCTTATTTGAAAATTTATTTAAATTTTCGAAAAAATTAAACTTTCACTAACTGATAATAAATGTACAATTTTGATTTTTTTTAAAATAAAGATATAAGCGATAACATTTTATTTTATTTTGTATAATTTTTATTTATTTTCATATATAGAATTATCTGTTATCGAATTTTATAATTATTATAAATTCTTATGTTTATTATTAGTTTTATTTAAGTATATATAAATAATATTAATAATTATAATCTTTATAAACTAACTTTACAAAAACTAAAAATTTATATTTATATATTCGTTTCAATATTTTAGAAAATAAAATCTATAAAAAAGATGCTTTGATTATATTAATGTAAAATAATAATTAATAATAAATGTTCATTAGAATGAAGACAATTGGAAAACAAAATTGGTTTTACTTAATATCTACCACTACATATCTCATGATATGCGTCGTTGCCGAAAAGGTACAGTATTTACAAGACAAATATATTCTATTATCTGCTAAATAATTAATAGATATATGTTTATATCGATAATATTGATAAAAAATAATCATATATTTCATTTATTAAAATTATCGTATCATTAGAAACATTAATAATGTATATTATATAATGTACATAATATATAATATAAACATTATGAATAAAAATTAACATTCAATAATAATAATAATAAAATGGAATATCACATATTATAAGAATTAAACTTTTTTCAATAAAAAATCAAAATTATTTTTTTTTATATTTTCTTAATGATTCGCGTAATTTTTTATCTAATATTTAATAAAAATTGTATAAAAAAAAATTAACGACAATAAATTAGATTGTTTCTAGATATTTATAAGCTTTTTTTATAAGCTTTTTAATTTTATTTAAAAGATAAAAAATGAGTGAAAATATAGAATAAATATTTCGCATATTTTAAAAAATAAAAAAAATATTGGATAAAATAATAATAATCTAATATCTAAAAAAAAGCTTTTTTTATCAATTTTAATGATTTTTGATTATATTATATACATATATTTTTATATTATATTTTTTTATTAAAAGAATTTCGATTATGTTTGTTGCGCTCTTAACGATTCTATTTCAATTTAATAATATTTAGTTTTTAAAATAATATAAATCTAAGTAAAATAATTGTTGCCTATTGTAGAATAAGTGTTGCTAATGAGTGAAATTACTTTATGTTGCTTAGTTGTTGGTTGATTTTCTATTTTTTCAGAATTCGATTTGTCTCGTTAAAATATCACTAATTAGTAATTTTCTTTTTTTCTTTGGAAACTAATTGAAAAATATTTTGATAATTATGTTCAATCTTTTCATGTTTGTCAAACATTCGTGTAGGAAAACATGGAATAATGTCTGAAGATTCGCGTTTCAAGATAAGCCTTTTTTGGAAAAATGCTTTGATCAAAAAGATCATCACAAATTGCTAAGTTATCTTATTGAAAAATCTGGTTTGCAATATGTTTTTTACAATTATTGAATGCAGACAAAAGATAGATCTCGAAGCATGGATGTTTATTGCTTTAAAATAAGTAAATTTCTAAAAAATTTTCAATTCAAAAATAATCTCATTTTTTGTTTATGTTATAATGTTTTGTTTATGTTATGTTCTAACGAACTTTATAAGTTTCGTTAGAAAAGATCGAATGACTTCACTTCTCTGGACGTATTGTTGCGATGTATATATTCACTGTAAAAAAATCGAAAAATTTAAATTTAATTCAATAAAAATTTATATTAATTAAAAATACGATTGAATCACAGAATCTCAATATTATTAAAAATTTAAATTTTAATTATCTTTAACATAATTTTGTTATCATTTTATTATTATATTTATATTGATTATTAAATTGATAATAAAATATGATATAGTTATTATCAATTATTATCAATTATTATCAATTAATTGAATATTGATTAATTTTTATTCATTACATTTTTTTATCAGATTAACAGAAAAAAAATTGTAACGATTATTATAACGATTATTTATTATTATTTATAATATTTCATATGTATCATAAAATATTCTTATGAATGATATTTATATTTCATTTTTGTTTAATATCTAATTTTTTGTTTTAATTTTTGAAATATAGAACAAAATGTTTTTTAAAGATTGGACTCTTAATATTTCATTATATTATTAAAATTTATTATTAATATTTAAATGATTTTTTTATATTTATAGCAAAAACGACAAATATTTAGAGAACAGGTGTTACCAGCATTAGGAGGCAAAATTCCAGAAGAAGCTTTTAGAACTGATCGCTTAGCATTGAATCGGTTAAACAAAGAAGGCATTACAGTGCCTGATGGTGTGATTTTAGATGCTCGAAATGTACATAAACATACTCAACATATTCAAACAATGCCAGAAATAATAAAGGTATGCACAAAAAAATTTTACATATTAAGAAAATTATATTAAATGCATGAATTATATTAAATTAATTATATTAAATTACATGAATAAATTATTTTTAATATTATTTAATTTTTAAAATAATAAATATTCTATTTTTATTTTGATATTGATATTATATGTGTTTTATTTTTAACTTTTCTTATGTATTTTAATATTACAATTGTTATTATTATTAATTATTAATTTTACGCAAGTAATAAATGTTTTTATTATATAATGTAATAATAATATAATTTTATTATTAATATATAATATAATAATATTATGATTATTATTTACGTATAATTTTCATACAAAAAATCTACATAAAATTCTATAAACTAATTTTTAAAAAATAATTCTTTATTTAATTCAATTTTTTAAAATGATCTAAGGAAGTTGGTTTTGATGCCAAGGAATATATTTTTTGATAGAAGCAAACAACCATTTTTTGGTGGATTCGAGATCACTAAAGGTTCATAATATAAAATAAGTTTTATTTTTTCTATTTTTATATTCTTTTATATTAATTTTATTTATTATATTTTAGTTTTTAATTTTATCTTTATATTTAAAACATATATTATAATATAATGTTATAATTATTATATTAATTCCATCTTATTTTGTACTTTCTAATCTATTTATAAAAAATTTTACTTAGTTCACTTCAATGCCATTTTTAAAATATAGAATATATTATATTCATTTTTGGAGAATTCTAAGATTTTATCGAAACAAATATAAAGTTGATATAAAAAAATCGATTGAAATTTATATATATATATATATATATATATATATAAGTTATTGAATTTTTATGTTAGATGAAATGAAACGGAGATAGCGATATTATCAACGTCACATTTATATTGTATTGCTATCATGCCTAATTATATTTTATAATTATTGAATCATAATTCTTATATTCATTTATTTATAATATGAATCAATCAATATACTAATTCTTTTTTCAATTTTCCCCAAAAAAGTAAATTTAAATATGATAAAAATAAAACTGTTTCATTCCATCTGTTTTTAATCTTATTAAAAGACAAATTTAAATTATATTTTGTAACATAACCTTAATAATATTTAAGAAAATTAATTTTTAGAACTTCATAACTTTAATAAAAATAAACATTAGGATTATGAGACGGGGATAGATTAGTTTTTCTATTCTTCAAAAGTGACTCATTCTCCGGTGAATTTTTATATGAAAAAAATATATAACATTCATTATTATGTGACATTTATATATATAATATTAGACATAGGCATAATATGCTTAATTTTCATGAAAATTTAATATCATAAAAATAAAAATCAAAAAAAGGCATCATAAGTCTGTTTTAATGAAAAAAATGGCAAATCTAATAATTTTTTATCAATAGGAAAATAATTTTTTATAAAAAAGATTATAATGATTGGATTTTAGACATCATGATTTATAAAAATAAGAAATACGATAGCTATTATTGATACTAAAAGTCTAAAAGCAAAATTAATTCTCAAAATGAATAAAGAAAATTACATGAATATAAGAAATATAGCTATACATAAAGAAATAGGAATTAAGATCAAGAACATTTTTAAAAATTTAGATTTAATCATAAATATTCATTTACTTAAAATATTGATCACAATAAAATTTGAAAATTAAATATTGATCAAATATTTGCATGATAATTCATAGACTTATTATTAGGATTTATTGTTGATCAAGAATGAATCAGAATATTTTTGTTACAGGTCTTTCAATCTTAAATTTATGAGAGTTTATTAATGAGAACTTAAAAACTCTAACATAATAAAAATTCAAGAAGTTAGATTTAATTCAAATGTTGTAAATAATAACTCTTCAAATAATAAAAGATTTAAAAGTTAAAATAACATAACATAAATTTATATATATATATATATGTTATTATTATATATATAATAACATAACGTAAATTATTATAATTATAGTATATAAATATGAATAAAAATATGAATATAATAATTATTATGCATTAAAGAAAAGTAGTAATCAAAATAATATATTTGCTATTTATATAAAAATAACTATGATTAATTAATTATTAAAAGAAGTTCAGTGACAATATATGATAATATATAGGATATATATGTCAATGAATAAAAATGCAAATCTTTGGTATAAATGATAAATGATAATATTAGAAAATTATAGATATATAGCTAAAATGATGTGTATTTAAAATTAAGTATAACTACTGCATTATAAGATTTTATTAATATGTATTAAAATTAAAAGTAAATATTTCATTAAGCAAAATGATTTAATTTAAGTTTTAATAATGTAATTACAATATTTCACATAATTATGTGATTTGTATAAAAAATTGATAAAATGTACAGACTGAATGTACACTTAAAAAATATATATAAATATATAATTTCAAAATAAAATTAGTTTAGAGGAAATGATTTGATAAATAATATTTCATATAAGAAATTGATATAAAATCTTATCTTATAATAAATAAGACACCTATCTTATAATAGATAAGAAAAAATATGTTAAAGTTAAATAATTTCTGATTATTTTGTCAAATCATATGAGATATGCTTAAAAGAAAAAGAATTAAAATAACTACTATAAGAATAACATTTATTTAATTAAAGCAGTCAGATATTTTCAGCCAAGTATTATAATTTTAATGATAGATATATTATAGATATATGTTTATTGAAAAAAAATTTTTTTGCAAAAAAAATTATAAATTAAAATTTGTAAAATTATAAATTTAAGAGATATAAAAATAAAAAATAAAAATAGAAAATTAACAAAACAAAGAAAAATAAAAAATATAATAATAATCAAGAATATATAGAATTTTTTATTTTTAAAATTTTTTAAATTTATAGAAATTTTCTAAACAAATCAGATTTAGTTAGTTTTTATGTCTTCTATACATGTCACAACAAAATAATTTCATGAAAAAAAAATTATGATAAGAAAATCAAAAGTATTTGGCTAATGAAATTATCAAAAATATGCTTAAAAAATATTGAAAGCTGTTGTTACAACAGTTTATATTCTAATTTCCTATATTAGTATTAAAAAATTGGACTTTAGCAGAAGAGTAATCTAGAATAAAATCAGATTTAAGACTATTCATTAAAGAATATTCAGTTGCATAATCATGGTGCAGAAAAGAAACAATTAAAATAGAACAAGAAGTAAAAAAAGTTTGATGTTTATTATGATTATGATATTATTATGATTATATTATGATATTAATTATTACAAATGAAAATAAAAAAGGTTGTAAATTAATGCATCCAATTAATCATAAAATTATTTTTAATAAAAAAATTACATTTTAGTAAAGGCATTGTTTTTTTGAAAAAAACGATAATATTTCATTAAAGAATTTAAAAATAATAAAAGCAAAATTATTCAAGATATGTTTATGTAATGAACAGAAAAAATAAAAGAAAGAAAAAATAAATTAGAATAAAATAGAATAAGAAGAAACAGAAGAAAATAAAAAATATAGACAAAAATGAAATATACATAAAAATAGTATAGAATATGTATCAAATGTAAAAATAAATATTTAAGAAGAATTTAAAAGTACAAAAAGCTTCAGAAATTCATTGAATTTTGAATCAAAATACTAATTAAAAAAAAAAAAAAAAAAAAAAATTACCTAATTTTGATGATTATATATATATATATAACAATGATGAATATGAAATAAAAACTTGGCAAAAAAACATTCAGAGCACAGCAAGATGATTCATATAAAGATAGATTTTTTAAATGGTGAAATGGATAAAAAAATTTATACAACTTCATTGTCAATTATTTATTAATCAGAAACTTCTTAACAAATTATGCACTTATACCAAACTTTATACAGATTAAACTAAAAAAGAAATGGAATGAAAAGTTAACTCAAATTTTAAATATAAATATAATAAAAATAAATATAAATAAAACTGACTATAAATATAATAAAATTATTTTTAAATAACAAAAATATGAAAAATTATAAAATTATAAAAAATATTAATAATTTTTATTGATAACCAGATTATTATAATTAATTCAGTAAATTTTAATTTATTCATTATATTTTAAAAAATTATTTTTAATTATTAAAGATCTTGAAGGATTGAAATTTTTTCTAAATATTAAAATAAATTATAAAAAAGATAAGAAATTCTATCAAAATAAAACAAACTTTGAGAAAGTTTAGAATACAAAATCAGCACCATTCAATATTAGCTTTTATATATTTATGCAAATAAAAAACTAATTGCAATAAATCAAGTATAATAAAGATAAGAAACATAAAAAATATTGATAAGTTTTAATAATAATAATTTTCCATTTCAAAAAGCTATATAACTTTATATATTAATTAAACAACTTGGTTTGATATAGGAATCTATTAAAACATATAAAAGTTTTTTATTAAAAAGAGTTTTTAGAATATTTTCGAAATATAAATTCAATTCGAAAAGTTGCATTGAAATGCAAACAAATGAATATAAACTGGTCAATTAATGCTATTCTGATTGAATGAATGATAAAGCAGATAGAAAATATATATCTAGCTTTATATTTTTATTCAAGAAAAATATTTTTACTCTCGAAAAAATATACATAACTATTTATTTTTCTATGAAATTGATATGTTATTGATGTTATGTTATTATATATAATATATTATATATATATATTATATATATTTATGTTATTATGTTATTTATGTTATTGAATGTTGTATTGCAAATAATGTATGTCATTAAAAACCATTTAGTTAATCTCATAAATCTCATTAATAAATCTCATAAAAAAACTGTTGTCAGTAAAACAATCTATTATACATTGAAGAAAATCTTGAATTTGACTTGGACATTGATATACAAAAGAAATACATTAATGTAAAATATGATTTTTATGATAAAACTAATAAAACTATTATTCAAACTATTATTCTACATGAAAATTTTAAATTTTTTATGTAGATGAAATAAAAAATTTTTAAGAAATAAAAAATTAATTAAGACATTTAATTTTGTTTATAAAATAAAATGATTTATTTTTATTTTATAACAAGTAATAATAAATATATTTTCATTTTTGTTAAAAATGAAATAAATAATATAATTCATTAAAAATATGAGATATATTTATTATTTGAAATTATATAATCTAAATTGGAATTTAAATTTAGATGTGTCATCCAATTTTAGTACTTTAGTAGCAGTATTTATGAAAATCAATTTTTAGGACTTGTTTATGATGCTAAATAAAGATAAATTGTTAAAAACTTATTATTAATAATAAACTCATAACAATAATTTCATTAAATCTAATGCAAATTTCAATTATTTCTAATATAATAAATAAATTTTAATCGATATTTTATACCAACTTTTATATTTATTTGAATTTTCAGAATCAACTTTTCAAAAACTAGAGTATCCTATGAATATATTAATATCTTGTATAATAAATTTTATTATTTAAACTTTATTATCATATAGTTTACATTAAATAAAAATTGATTAATATGATTTTTTTATTTTTAAAGGTATACCTAACTCCAGATGGACGATATATTCCACCAGAGGGTAGATTTCATTACAATCATGCAAAAACAATTGACACAACTTATGTTATTCGTACTCCATATTCACGATATAATAATCGTGAGAATTCAAATTTTAATTATTTTAACAATCATCGAGATTTTTCAAAATCACAAACTTATACGAATTTTAAACAACTTGTACCCATAATACAACCTTCAGAAGCTGAAATTTACAAACCTATCATAACACCTTTAGTACTTTCTAATAACGCAGGCTTATTAGAAGAATCTTATGTACCCACTTGGAATATTCACTACAATTGGAATTCTATCTATCAACCATTCGATGATTATATTATCAATAATATAGCATTTTTTAATTCTCATCAGGTATATATTTAATATATATATATATATATTTTCAAATTGAATATTTATCGATAAAGCAAATATATTATATAATATTTTTGATTTTTTAAAGCAATTATTAAATAATGATTATTTAAAAATTTGTTTTTATATAATATCACAAATATTATATTTATTATAATTTCACAAATATTAATTATGATTGCATATAATATAAATAATATAATATAATATTAAAAATATATTATTTTTTTATAAAATGAATTAATTCAATTAAAAATGATTAATTAATACTAAAAATGACAAATAAATAATTTAATTCATAAAGATAATAATAATAGATATGGAATCTAATGATAGAATGTATAAAATGATACATCTTTTTGATTAACTTCAATGGAAAAGCATAATCTGCGAAAAAACGAATATTAATACACGAGATTTTAATTCATTTCATTAAAGCAAATTATTTTCTAAAATATTGCTTCAAGAAAATAGATTATCTAGTCATTTTGAATATCAATATGAATAAGATTTTGCTTGAAAATAATACATGTGATACTGCACTTACTTGCAGTATATGAATATGATAATGAATGATATGAATCGTATGTTAAATTACCATTATTGCATCTTTAATAATTAATCTTTTTCTTATTTTCCTTATTTTTCTTTAACAAACTTCATCTAAGAATCTCGTAGATATCTTTTATATTAATAGTAATTAAATCATGTTACTTTCATGTACATTGTATATTTCAATAGAATATTTTTTTTTATGTAATTTTATATAAGTATAAATATTTATAATTTTTATTTTAAAGAAAAAATTTATATTTTTTTGTGGTAATTTTATCTCCCTTAAATATTATGTTTTTTTAAATATAATATTTATATATTTATATATTACATATATGCTATAAAATAAAAAATTTTTTTAAAAATATTTAAAAATAATTTTTAATTTTAATGAGATAGATAATAATTTTCAATTTTTTTTATTAGTAATAAATTATTACTTTAATTTTATATTTTACAATTGTAGATGAGATTTTATTAAATTTTTTCATTAATATTATATAATATTAATAAATTAAAATGTATATTTTATTTATTTATATTATTTATATTATTTATATTATAATATATAAATAAAAATGTATATTTAATCATAGAAGTATTTATATAGAAAAGTTTTATATATGTATTATATATGTAAAACTTTTAAAATATACATTTATATAAACTTTTATAAATAAATATAATTATTTAATTAGATTATATAATTTAAAAGAAATTAAAAGATATATTTAGAAATTAAACAATTTATTATATATATTTTAAATATAAAATTCATAAAATAATATTTGAAGAGATAGAAATCAGACTAATTGTAAATGAAATTATTATTTGTAATGAAGTTATATCTAGCGAATAATAATTAATTTTGTGATTAATTTTTATGATTTTGTTTGCAATAAATACATGGAATATATTTCTGTATATATGTATATATAATATATACAAATTTATTTTTTAAGTTTTTTTCGAATAAATTTAATAAATGTTTTTAACATGCATCTAACTATTTTAAATTCAATCAATATTTAATTTAAAACCAAAATATTTGATGAAATTATCATATTTATTACATTTATAGGATATAAATATATTTATTTTCATATCCATATCAAATTTCATTCATATAATCCTAAATCATATATATATATATAATTTTAATAGTAAATGCATTAAAACTATGTAGTTTATTTACTTTCTAATCTATTACTTATTGGTAAGATAGATGTTTTGAAAAATATTAAGATTATCATATTTTTTATTTATTTATTTATTATGAAAATGAGAAAAATAAGTCTAAAATAAGAAAAATAAGTTTAAATAAAACGAGAAAAATATTGTTATTTGACTGTTCCTTGATGCAATTTCGACAGTCTATATTAGGTCTATATTAAGAGATATACATGAGTATCGTAATGATATAGGATGTAGGAATAGATTCCTAATAATTTTAAGCAACATTTTCTTTTGCAAAAATTTTTTACAGTTTTGTTAATAAGTTATTAATAAAAAACACTGGTCGATCATATACATAGCTTAGTCAAACCGGAATGGTAGCGTTGATTATGTCCCACTAAACAAGCATGAACAAGTCCAAACAACCAAAAAAATATTATAAATATGGCAAATATTATATCAATAAAAAATTATGTTATGAACAATGAATGTATTATATTACGAACGAGACTAATATTCAACATACTTTGATGACGATAAGACATTTACCTCTGCGCTCGAGGCCTTTTTCGTTCAACCGAACCAACAACTCGAGGCGATGTTCAGTGAATTTTTTATAGCTAATTTAAAATGATTTTACAAACAAATTAATGTATAAAACTTTTATATTTTAATATTTTATATATCTTTATATATAAAGAAAAAAAATTTGTTGAATATTAAATTCTATATTTTGTGTGATATTTTATAAAGCAAACGCCAAAATGCATCCTCAGTTTGTCAGAGTAATAATACAGTAAATAATACAGTAAAATGTCTTTTATCTTTCTTATTTTATTGAGAGGAAATTTTATAATCCTTCTTAATTTTTATTAATATAATTATTTATTATTTATTCTTCTTATTCTATTTATTATTTTTATTTTTTGTCTTTTTATACCTCTTACTTCATCTCTATTTTCATTATTGCTTTCCTTTTCTATTGTCAATTTCTTTCTGAATATAAATAATTTCGTCACTTAATAACGAAAAATCAAACTCATCTTCACTTAAATTAATTTGATTACTACATTCTATTTATTTATTACTACAAAACTCAAAAACTTTGAAAATATTATTCCTATTGCCACTCGACAAATTGTCAAACTCGGACTAATGCCGAAAATGCAGTCTGATTTGCGATCTAATTTGAGATAAGAAAATCTAGCTATTTGACAATATATTATTTTACACTTCATAAGATTATATATATTATATGACCTTAGGAATCTATTCATGAAACGATATTCTAAAAAAATCAATCATAAATAAATATTATCGCTATTCGAATCTAAGTGGTACCTGAAAGTCACCTCTCGAGTTATTACATCAAACCATGTGGTGTTTATAACTCATCATTCGAATGCAAAGTATCTTTAAAAAAAATCGATGAGTTTTAAGCTTGTTTTATGTAATCCTGAATTTGCTTTCATAAATTTTTTAAATGATTCTGAGCCAAATATAAATTTATATCCCTTCCTCTGATTCTATAAAATAAAATTATACATATAATATAATATAATCAAGTTTTAATCAAGCATATCTAGCTATTCCAAATAAAAGTTAATATTGTAATTTTATGATAACTTTAATAATTATATATTAAAAATAAATACAATCTATTCAATATATCTAGTTATATTTAATCCAAAACAATAATAATCATTCTTTAACGCAATAAGTCAAAAATCCAGGAATTTATTTAGTTCAAATAATTTTAAGTAATAATAAAGATAATTTTATATTTATTATTGAGATAAAAATTTTACTTATTAAATTATAAAATTTATAAAATTATACTTATATTTTAAAAAGTTTTGTACAGTTTTGCACTATTATGAATATAGATACATATATTATATTTATAAAATTTCTGTACAAATTTAAATATTTTCATAAATCATATGTATAAAATATAAAAAAAATTATATTATACGATTATTTGGATCTTATATCTTTAGATAGCTGTTAATCTGTTAAAATATTCTTATAAATTTGATTTTAATCGAATTTTTCAAGTTATATATTTTTTTTTATTTTATTATATTCTTTTCATCAAAATCAAAAAGAATTGTTACAGAAATAAATCAGAAATTGTTTTTTTGAAAAATATTATTAAATTGCTATTATTTCTAAATAAACTAATTTTATTTATAATAAATAAATTAAATTTTATAATTAATTATAGAAAAAATAGCGTGCTATTAACAGAACAAGAGAAAATTATTCATTAAAAAAATATATTGTAATATACATAAAAGATATAATGGAAAATCATTACACTAAAAGAAATTCTAGATTAAAATACGATTTTCAACGATAAGATCACGTTCAAGTGATCAAGAATTACTATTAGACTGTTAGACATTAATTATATTAGATATTAGATTGAACAGATATTATTGGACAGAACAAATCGAGAAAAAAAAACATATAATCGTTTTTGCTATATATTCATTAATGACTTATATAATAGCTATATAATAGCTATAATTCAATATATACGCGAGCACTTATTACTTACAAAATTTATGAACATTTTATTCAGAAAAATTCCTCCTATGGAAACTCTTTTTTATTATCTATCACCGATCTTCATTAAGTTTAAATAAAGGATAATATTATCTCAGACTGATTGAGATACTTATTGACGTTTTTGAGAAGAGTCACATTATTGACACTTATAATTGTATATTTTTGACATGCTTCAGCTATGGAACAGAATCTCCGATCCCAAAGGTGACATACTTCAGACGATTGATTCAACGATAATCAACATCATTTTAATTTGAAATCATTGATCCCTGATTAGCAGTATCTTGATATCTTTATATATTAATCACCAACTCAAGGAATTAAAGGAATTTTCCTCTAACTTGGAGATGTCGCGAGTCTATGATATTATTGATTATCATCATATTCCACTGAGAAACCGTGATCCTTTCAATTGAATTAGAAAGAGATTTTCTAATTTTCGTATGAGCTTCATTTGATGGAAAATCTAATTAGCATTCATTGTGAACACGTCTCGTCGCTGAATATGACAAATAGATATTTTTCTTAACAACATATCGTGCTTTGACCGTCGGATATGATAAATAAATAGTTGTTCTATAATTATGCATCGTGTTCTTATTATCGGACACGATCATATAGACTGTAATTGTGAAAAACCTAGCTTTCATATATATTTTGTACAGTCTATTTATTGTTAAAAAAATACAAACAGTCATAAGCCCAGCTTCTATATACATAGTCAACATGTATATGTACACTTAACAAACTTCCATCCACTACTGCAATACTATTGCAAGCGCGAATATAATAAATGAGAATTTTTTAGTAGATAATATGATAAGTAATTCCTGAAAATTAAAATTAAAAATGGTCTAAATATTTATAAAACGCATTCAAGCATTGTAAAGAGCATATCATTCGACGTTATATGTTAAATATTTCAAAAATTATAATTTTATATGTTATATTTGTTAGTTAATATTAATCGTGATTCGATTTCTAAACAAAATATTTCGAATATAACGAATATGATACAAATCTGTATCATACATCTACATATATTGAATAAAATATCATAATATTAAATTTTTATCATCAAACTATTGAATCATTATTAAAGTTATATTTGAATTTGATATTTTTTTAGATATAGTGATCATTATACAAATTCTATTGTATCCAATATTCTAATATATTTTGCTATAAAAAATTAATTAATTAATAAACTAATAAATAATTTTTTTCTATTTCGTTAATAATATATTATTTTGTAATTGAAAAATATAAATTGATTATAAATAAAGTTAGTTAAAAAATTAATAGAAATTTAATCATTTTTCAAAAAAATAGTTGAGTTTCAATCTATTTTTTTAATTTGTTTGATCTTTATAACATACAATCAAAAACTTATTTAATTTAGGATTTTTTTTTATTTTTTAACTAATTTTTTTTAATTAATCAAATTATCAAACAAAAAAATGTATTTTTATATTTTTTTAAGTAAGAAATTATACAAATTATAGAAATTCATAATTTGGTTAAAAATAATTAAATAGAATATTGCAAATGTTAACACAAATATAAGTTAATATTTGAATTTATTTTTAGATTATTACTGATTATCAAGGATTTTTAAATAAGTTTCATGAACGATTTTCAAGATATATAGAATCTCATTTTATAAGAAGGAATCAAAATTTTTCTCCTCAATTTTGGAAATCAAATATGAAAAATATTGAATTAAATACCAAAGTAATATCATATCAGAACATTAAAATGAATACTGACGATACAATTTTCCGCTATCCAAATCTTACCAAAATTCCAGAAACTGATTTCACTTGTGATGGTAGGAAAGGCATGTTTGCTGATATTGAAACTAATTGTCAAGTACGTATATATATATATTAAATATATATTATATATTTTTCTATATTTTTCATTTCAAACATTTTATTTTTATTATATATTTTATTTTACAATACATTTTTGTATTAGAATATGAATTATCATATTTCTTAATTTTAGGTTTTTCACAATTGTTCTGGTTGGTCTAAAACTTCGTCGCTTTGTCCTTCAGGTACAGCATTCAGTAATGCGAAAAAGCGTTGTGAATGGTGGTATACAGTACAGTGTAAATAATCAATTTAATTCTAAAATAATTTAATAATTTTAGAAGAGAATAAATTCATATTTTCATTGAATTTTAGTTCAAATCAATTTGAATTTTATTATTATGATTTTAAACTAAATATAAATTGTGTTCGCTAGCATTTCTTAATTTTTCAAGTCAATTATTATATTTAAATATATTTAAATTATTATATTATAATGCAAATGTTTTTAAATGTTTATTATGAATGCACATTCAATATAAATTTAATTTCGGTGCGAATTTTATACAAATTTTTTTCTTTCAATATTAATTAAATTCAGAATTAATTGTTTAAATAACCAATTGAAAATATCTTTTTAATTGTTCGGCTGATCAATTAAAAAAAATTTGATTTGTGATTAATGATCTTTCACATATGTATTAATATGTAAACATTATTCCTTATTATTTATTAGTATATAGGGATTTTTTACGGATTTATTTTTTATTAATTACATATGAAGCCTCAAACTTTAATAAGATTTTTGGATAACTTATTGGAAAGTTATATTCTCATTAATTTTATTCTCATTAATAATATTGAAATATATATGGTTAATTCGATTTTAATAATATTTTCTACAAGTTAAATTAATAAAAATTTCGGTATACAAAATGTTGATTGAGATTTATTTATAATCAGTTTAAGTTTGTATTAAATGAAGTGAGATGGAAGTACAATATAGATAGATATTATGTTTTGTCTTTTTATGTCAGTTTTGAATTCTAGAATTTCCAAAAATGTCTTATGAATATATTAATATCTTATATTGATTGGCTTTTATTTTTGAATTATAAGTAAAAATATTTTTCATAATAAATAAGATGAAATGTTCTTTTTTTCTTATATAATCAAAATATATTATTTGTTAAGATAAATGGTGTTTTTGTGCAAAATGCATATTGATATATTACAAAATAAATATCACGTATTGTATGAATAACTAAAATTTATCTAAATTAGTCGATTCAATACATATATATATATATATATATATATATGAAAAATAATTTTGCATATAATTTGAAAATTAAAGTCACCGATAGATATATATTTAGAAAAATCTTATTCAAAATAATATCTTTAATAAAATAATCTTTATAAAAGTTATCATTGAAATTAATGAGGAATTTTTTTATCAACTAAATAATTAATTATAGAAATTATAAATTCATATCAATTTAATTATAAATTCATTATAAATAGATATAATAAATATATGTATATTTACTGATATATTAAATAATATAACATAAATATAATTTATTATAATATATTTTAAATAGAAATTAATGAATTAAATTATTCAAATTAATAATTTAATAATTTATATATTATTTCACTTTTTTTAAAATATATATATACGCAATAAGATTTAAGCATTATTCTATTCACATAATTTTATAATAAGAATTGTTTTAATAAATAATAAATAAATATATATTTAAAATATTCAATCGAATAAATTTTAATCGAATATTTCATTTTCATAATAATTATTCATTAACTATTTATTCGATATATATTATAATATACATTATAATATATATATATACACATTATATATTTATTATATTTAATCGAATAAAAATAAAAATATAATAAAATATAATAAATTATTTGATTATATATTATATTTTATGATATATTTATCATAATTAATTTGAATGATGATTCAAATTATAAAATATCCCGTTTAAAATAGCATATATGTCAATATGTTTTTATTTTCTAATATATATGTTATTATTTTCTAATATATATATTTTCTAATATCTATATAAAATTAATAAGATTACTAAGATATTTTTTTTTCTTTTTTTAAGTTATATGCCAAACATGCTCAAATATGCTTGATTCGTGATGTGGTATCGAATTTTCTAAACTTCTTGATTGGAAGCTAATATAAGTGATCTGTATATAGATATTTTAGAATTATAATTTAAATTTAAATAAATTTGAATAAATTAGTACAACAAATAATTTATTTTAATAAATTTATATTTCAATAAATATTTTCAATAAATATTTTTATAATTTCAATAAATATTTTTATTGAATATAAATAATTCAATATTTCAATAAATAACTTTAAAATTATACTATTGGAAATTTTAAATATTGCAATTATACATATATAGTTATAGTTTGTAGTGACATCTGGGATTATATATAAAAACTTGAAAAAAAACTGGAATGTTTTTAGATAGATAAATGAAAAATCTTAATCATGTGATTTATACGATTACATTCGTATTCTTTTATTAAATAAACTAGTTTATGTTATTGTTATAAAAAGATTCGAGTGTGCTTTGTTTAATAGATTATTAATTTAAAATTCTTTCATTATGCATAAAAAAATTGTTCGTACATACAAAAAGTAACAAAGAAAAATATTTTCTGTCACGTGTTTTACATAACCTTTGTGTAAGTGCATCAAATTTTAATATCATATATCATCTAGTTTTTTCGAGAATCAATGTCATTTAATATAATTACGATTATTAAATTCGATAATAAAAACTATCATTAGTGAAAATTTCAAATGTGTTTTAAAAGTAAAAAATGTTTTTGAAATTGTAAATGATATTCAACGATATTCGCAAGGCGAAGGATGTCAACATGCATAGTCATAAGAAATGGATAAAAAATGATGTCAATATTTTTTTCTAATGGATTTCTTACAGATCCTCTTTATTAAAAACTGCCAATCATCGAAAAAGGTACTAGATATGATTTATGAACAAAAAATCGAACTAAATAAAATATAATGTATTTTCTCAGTGTAAAATTAATAGAAATTGAAATTTTATAAGAACTATATTAATAAATTAAATAAAATAATTATTAATATTAATAAATTAAATAAATTAATTGCATATAATAAAAAGGAATTATTTTGGACATAATATTTACATTTTATTGATTTTTTTTATATTTTAGAGATTTGTATTAAAAAATTATTATATTATTATAAAAAATTATTACATTCTTCATATATTTTTTCTCTGAATTATATAATACATTTATATAATACAAATAATAAATGAAAATATTTCTTGCAAGAAAATCAGAATAATTTAAATTAATTATTATTTGAAGTTAATCAAACTTTCTGTCAAATATTTACATACAAAGAACTTAAAATTTAAAACTAAATTAATAATAAAAAAATATAGAAATTAAAGAAAATTAAAAATATTTACAAAAATTGGAACCAAATTTAAATTTATAATCATTTTTTTTAATTTATACAATCAAAATGATATATGGTTTCCACTCTTTATTTTTTTTTTTTCTTAAATTTTCTTTACTTTTTTTCATTCATTTTCAATATTATTATTCTACTTTTAATTTTATTCATATCTTCTCTATTTTTCTTCTTAATCTTAATAATTTTCTATAAATTTTTAATTTCTCCTTATTAGCCATTTCTTTGAGATCATTTTTTTTTTATTCTTTTATTTCTCATTGATTCTCAAAGAAAGAAAATTTCTTTTTTTTTCCTTTTCATTCTTTTCATTTTTTCCTTAATTCTTTTCATTCTCTCTTTTAATTGTGCTTTTTTTCTTATTTTTATTATTTTTTAATTTTTCTAATTATTTCTTTTTATATTCCAGAATTCTTGCCACTATTCTTCACATTCTATCTCATTTTCATATAACTTATACATTTTTTTTTTCATCTCCTCTAAATATTTGACTAAATATTTTAATATTTCATTTATTTTTATTATTCATATTTTATATCATTTTTATCATCTAGAGATCTTTATATTCTTTTTCCTACATTTCTCTTTCTCTTCTTTTTATTCTCTCTTATTTTCTGTTTTTTCTTATTCTTCTTATTATTTTTTTTCTTTCCAAATTCATTTAAACATATTTTGTAATCTGTTTTAATATCCTTTTTTTTCTGCAATTTGTCACTTCTTCCTTTTATTTCATTTTTCATTTTCATTTCTTTTATATATATTCTTGCTAGTAATTCTTTTTCTTCTGTTTTTAATTTTTAAGTTCTTTTTTTAAAGTTTATTTTCTTGTCTTTTTTTTATTCTTCCTTTTTCTATTATATACATAATATATATATAAGGATGAATTAAAAAAAAGAATAAAAATATATATATATTATTATTTATATCCTATTTTTTAATGTTCATCTCATATATATTTCTTGTATTTTTTCATCTTTTATTTCTTTTTGATTCTCATGTTTCTATATTATGTCAATATTGGCTACATCAATTATTCAATTTTATCAAATAATAATTTATTAATATTTTTCTTTTGTTGTTAAATATCTTGTTTCTCATATTTCAAATTTTTCCTTTTATTGCTACTGTTTTTTCATTTTATTTTTTATTCTATATATATTTTTTTTATTTTGCTGTTTTAACCATGATGTAATCTAAATTTTTTTTTAATTCTTCAATCTGTTTTTTCTTGCATTTCCATGAATGTTTAATTTCTTTTCTTTCTTCTTTTAAAATTTATTGATTTTTTCATATTTAATATTAGATTCAATATTTGGTTTTTTTTAATCTATTTTTTCAATCTTTTTGTTATTTTCTTCAAATCTTTCTTCTTTATTTTTCTTTTCTTTTATTTTGTTGCTCTATAATTTCTTTTATTCTTACAATAATCTATTAACATTATATCATTATATATATATATATATATATATATATATATATATATCAGATTATATACTCTCTTTTTCCTATTCTCATTTTATCCAATCTCTTTCTATTTAGTTTTTTTAGATTAGTTAAACATTGAACAGACATAGATCCTCATTATTTTTCTTGTTCAAAATTTTTTCTTTTTATCCATTTTCATCTCTTCATATTTTCTTAATTCTTTTTATCAATTCCTCACTATTTTTATTACTTATTATTTCTTATAACTTGTTTCTATCATATTGAAAATTATTTTTAAATCCATAAAACTTATTTTTGTTTTTTTTCTTTCTTATTTAAGATTTATTTAA